TTCCTGGAGCATGGGAACCAGGAATTCCATGCACATCTGGCCCCAGAGCCCACCCATTTCACCTCTTAGTCCCTCTATAGACACTCCTAGCTGCTGACACCCTCTTGTGCTTATAGTGGAAAAAAACCATAGTCAGCTATATACTTCCATCACTACTGTCTATATGTAGCTGTGCGTTGACTCCAGAAACTGGTTTCGTTTTTTTTGTTTAGATTTTGTTTTTCTAACAATGGAGAAAAAGGATTGTTAGTGATACAGGAAGATTGCCTTACCCTAAATGAGTGTGAGAAGCCATAAAGACTGAGTTCTGTGGCCCAGCATCCAGGACTGACTCACTCACCCAGAGGCTAGTGGGCATGTGAGTTGGAGGGAAGCCCACATCTCACCCGGATGAGGGGCACCGGTGAGTGCAGCCAGGGCCTGGCTTTTGGATGCACAGCACCAAGCTGCCCCTCTAGCCCCTGGGAATTCAGCAGCATGTGGTCACTCTTGCACTATACCTTCTCCCAGCCAGAAACTACATCTACTTTCATAAAGAAACTTGTGAAAAAACACCTGGCTGCTAGCCCTTGTTTTCTGTTAGTGTCTGCATTTTCTCCTCTGTATGCCCACCCTTCCATGTCTCTATCTGTCTCTGCCCCAGGCCTTCCCTTAACCTGAAGGAGCTCAGCAGTGCCCAGAGGTGGGGTTGGGGCTCACCTAATTAAGACCATGCCTCAGGGCTTTGGAGAGAGGCTAAGGTGGTCAGGCTGAGTGGCTCCAAGCAGCTAGGACAGAATGGGGTCTGGGAGCTGTCCAGGTGTGGGTTCCAGCTGGCTCAGACCCTCCCTGGCCCTAGGACCTAGAAGCCTACTCCTTCCCTGACTACTCCCAGTTTTTATTTAGCTGAAGTTAACAAACTGAGTTTGGGGGACAGGCGACCTGTAATCTTTCTGGGTCTCATCATCTTCCTTAGTGAAAGGGGGAACAATGGTCTTCCCAGAAGTACCTGGGCCACAGGAACAAAAGAGGAATGAGGGTGGCTTCCTTCCCCTTCCCTCCTGAGGAAACAGTCCCTATAACCTGCTGGCTCCATATAATTTTACACACTGCCAAGATCAAGAGGACATGGCTTGAGGTGGGAGGCAGCTGAGTACCACAAAGGCCTCTGCCAGAAACTGCTAGATTTCCTAACGAGAGAAGCTACCCCACCTCCCAGCCAGGCAAACCACCTTGAGACAAAACTTATAAGGGAAAAATGAAAACCAAAATATCCAACACAAGTCAATCTTTATTGAAAACTGTAGTATTAATACATAACAACTCTTGTTACAATAAACGTGCTTTTAAGAATTTTAAATCTGAGCTCATCTACTCATCAGATTGCATAAAAAGTTAAAATAGTATGAATTTATACATAATGGACCTGGCTCAGGATGGATGTTCCATTCTTTTTTGATTGACACCTAAGTTCAATGCAGAGGTGAGGGATGCCTTTAACACTGGAAGACAACGCTGACTTAAGCTTTAAAATGTACCAACAGAACGGTCTAAAAAAAACAGTATTTAAAAATCATTTAAAAAGAATTTTTAAGGGACCATTTCCTAGTCAGTCACAACCCATGTGGCTACTTGGGTCTTCTCCTTCGAGTGCCTGTCAGGGTGCACAGGAGTCCCGGCCTCAGATCCAGCCAGACTATTCACTCCTTTGCACAAGGACCCGGGAGACTCCAACAGGATTCAGGAGGCCAAGATGAGCTATCTCCAACACACCAACCCTGGAGCATACCATCTCCTGCAGCTCATTCAGGTTCCCTGGACATGGATCCCCGCCTCTCCTGACCCTGTCCCAAGTTGACTTTCGTTCTGGGGACTCATATAAAGTGACCCCACAGGCTTTCTGTTCTTCAAATGAAGTGGGTGGGGAAAGAGACAAATCCTCTGAAACATGTAAGATAAACTTTGCAAATTACCTGAAAAGATCGGACCCTCCTCTGCAGTGTGTCATCTGCAGTCTACTGAATCTGCTACACCTTCAGAAAGCTCAGGTTGAGTAATAAACAGCTTAGGGACACACACACACACACACACACGCACG